TCAGTTAATATTTCCTGTAATTTCTAGAACAATAAATAAAATAATAATATAAAGATTTATAGTTTAAAATACAAAAAAGCATGAAAATATAAATTAAAATGCTATTAAACAAAAAGAAGGCAGAAATGGATGAATAGGGGCATAAAATATGGATGGGACAAATAGAAAACAAATGACAAAACTGTAGTCTTAAATTCATTAATGCCAAAAATTACATTAAAGGTAAGTAGACTAAACAATTAAAACATACAGATTGTTACACTGGGTAAAAAATGAGAACTAACTATACATTATCTATGAATGCATTCTAAATATAAAACCACAGATAGATTGGAAGTAGATGGATCAAAATAATATACTGTGTGGCTAAATGAATAGCAGACAAAATTGATTTCAAGTCAAGAAGACTTGCTAGAGATAAGAAGAGACATTACATAACAAAAAATGTCAGTTCAACAGAAGACATAATTGAGAGTGATTCTATTTATATGAGATTTTAAAATTAAAAAGTGAATTTGTTATGAAGAAATAAATTAAGGCTGCAAGTTGAAAGTGGTATTACCTGAAAGGGGACACAAAGGTATTCTCTGGAGTATTGAATATATTTTGTATTTTGATTTATCAAACTCAGAAAATTATACACTTACCTGTGAATTTCATTGTAATAAATATTACTTTGAAAAAAACTAAAATAAGAAGCAACTCAATGAAACTTTGTCTTACTAATAGAAATAGTGAACACATTATTTAAACTAATTATAAAAAGTAATTAATTTCACATAATGACACAGTAAAATAAGTTTCCTTAAAGATCCTGCTATTTATGGCTATATTTATTGTTGAAGAAGTCATTGTCATTCTTCATGCTGAACTCTACAAATTAAGATGAGCAAACACTACCCTTTTAATTTTCAGTTATATTTTTAATCCTGCTACTATCAGTATTTCACCATGTTTTAATAGAGTCTACATTCTTTTATTTTCAACTTTCTTGGAGTCAAATGAATATATAATCATATATTATATTTTCATTTTTATTATAAGCATTGCTATTACTTTGATGGATGAATATCATGTAATAATCAAATATATGCAATTAGAATATTAAATCATCAGATAGAATATTAAATGTTATATCATATAACATATTGATGATATATTGATACAATATATTATACTCATGAATATAATATATGAGGCTATTATATGATATAATATAATATATCATATGATATATCATATGTCATATCATAATTACATTTCATAGAGTTACTATAATTTATTTAACTATCCTCTATTGTTGGAAAAATTGGTTTCTTTCTTGATTCTGCATGACTAATAATCTTGAGTTGAATATTGCAACATATATAGCTTATTTTATATTTTATATTATTTCTTTAGGTTAGATTCTTGGACTTGAGATTAAAAGGTCAAAGATAATTGTGTGTTCGGGAGGAAAGGAAATTGTATGTGTGGCTATTAATATGTATTTTTCAATTACATTAACAGTGAATAAGAATAACCATTCCAGTACATGTCTGTCAACATCAGAAATTATTGTGAGACTTTTATTTTACCATAATGTGTGAAAACAATAATTTGTCATTTAGTTTATATTTGTTTCAGTTATTTAAAGGTTGAATGATTTAATAGCTGTACTTTTTTCAGTGAAGTGTTTATTCATCCTTTGCTGATTTATTTATTGGGAAATAAGTGCTTTTCTTATTAATTCTTATGTGTATTTAATTTAACAAAGAAATGAAATCTGCTAAAACTATTTTTCTAATATCTAGTTGCAACTTTTTTTGTTGTTTATTTTATCTATAGAAGGCCACACTTCTTATTTGAGGTATATTTTACCACTACTAAATTTGAAAAGGCAAATTTTGATAAATATTTAATTATATATTTTTAATAGTCAACATTTTTCCATGTGAAATTTGCTTTGATATACAACATAATAATAATAAAAAATTATTTCCCCCAATTTGTTATCCAGCCTTTTAATTACTTATGGAATAATATTTTTCCACCATTGACCTGCAAAGCTCTCCTGATCATATATTAAAAGTTTTATTATAATGTTTCTCATATATGGGTATTTTTTTCTGTAGATAGATCTAGTTATCTATTCTAATGTTAGAACAGAGGTTCACTTTTACAACTTCAAGTTTGCAGTTTTTGATAGATAAGGGCAATATTTAGGAAGTCGGGAATTCTAGCCTTATAAAACACCAATTTTTCCATACCTCACCTCAGCATAATATCTACAGTTTCCCTAGTAAATTGACCTGTGATTACCAATTTTCAAGGTTTCCTGCTCAGTTATTATTAAGGGACACTAATCCCTCTCACCTCCTTATTTCTCAATTGGATACAACCCTCTTTGTTATTTGAAGCTCAAAGCATTCTAAATAAAGGGTGCTCCTCTACAAGATTTAGGAAAGGAGACCATTTTAATTCACTTTTGACTCAAGAGTTTTATTTCTGAATGGAGAAAGTTTTTTTTTTAAATCTAAGCAAATTAAATTTGAAGACATCTTTAATGTTGTCCTTGTGTGTGTCATGACTTTATTAATGTCTATTTACTCCACTATCAACAATAATAATCACCAGCATTTGTTGCATATTTACTCTCAATGTACTGAGCACTACATGAAACTTTTTTGTATGAATTCTCTCACTCAATTCTTATAGCGCCCTTTCAAGTAGGAAATATTATAATTCCCAGGTAGGTATTATTATTATTCCTATTTTTTCAGGTGAGCAAAGTCAGCTACAGAGAAATCAAGAAACGTCCCCGTGGTCATATAGTTAGTTTGGTTGACTAGACTTTGAATTCAGACATCCTGATTCCAGAGACAGTAGTCTTTACCTCTGGACTAGGTCTGTTCAATAAAACATACTGTGATTATAAAAACATTCTCTCCCTGTGCTGTCTAATATGATAGCCAATAGCCACAAACAGCTAGTGGGTAATTAAAATGTGGCTGGTGTAACTAAGGAATTAAAATTTAATATTATTAATTTTAATTAATTTAAATTTCAATAGCCACAGGTGGCTACTAACTAGCATATTGAACAAGGTAGCTCTATACACCATGATACTAGACAATAATTTCCAGAAATTTTCTGTGTCTGTTTTTGCTTGCCATTATAACCTCTGGTACAAGCACAATGCCCCACACGGTCTGTATTTATCTACTAAAAACAAATAACTCAGAGGGGAATAGAATGGAAGGGAATAAATAAAACTGCTTTGAAAGCACCAAGTTGTGAAGAATGCTTACTTCCAGTGCAATACCTTGAGACAGTTTTGCATATTTTCAAAATAAATGCAATGAAAATAAGTATGGGAATAAATTTGACAAAATTGAGCATATTTTTTCACTCATATTTAATAATGAGGGTAAAGGTGGCATCTAACAGTAACCTCTAAGACTCAAAACTTATCTGACAAGAAGAAATGACTTTAATATCAAAATACACTTTCTGGAATATATTTCTACCAAGAGCTGAAAGATTCTAGTAGTTTATAAGGTAGTGAATGATAAGCGCATTCATGCTCTCTACCCCAGAAAACAGCCTTATGTTTTCCTGCCTATTACTGAATGCATTTTTCTTACTGAAAGTACCTGTCTGTGCTATATTTGATTTTCATCCATCATCTGGTACATATTTTTGTTACCACTGCTCAGAACAATAATCTCACATTTAGATTAAGGGTGTAAGAGAAGTCAACCCTATTTGGTAATTAAATGTCAGAAAGTATTTCCCTGTTAGTCATTAATGCTGAAGTTTGAAGATTTGGACTAAGTATACTCATATTAAAAAGGAATATTAAAGGAACATTGCACATACATTATTAGTAACTTTTAGTAATAGTAACTTTGAAATTTGCTAATACATTTCAGAAAACAGCAATAAATGTTCACTCAAAAAGCTTTGCTTGATTGACAAATTGCCCTGATCGAAAGAGCTAGAAATTTGAGTTTGAAATAGATAAAAATGGTATCTTAAAGCTTAAAACATTTTATATTTCTTTTTCCTGTTACATTGAGCCACACTGGTAAGAATTTGTACTAAGTGAATGTAAATTAAATTGCTCTATGGAAAAATTTTTTCAAAATAGAAATGCTCACTTAAAAAACCAGAGCAGTTATACATATCTTGCTATATTATGCTGAGAAAAATCTGACATCTCTGCTGTTTTGTTGTTATTGTTAAGCCTTCAGATTATTTATTTAGTTTTAGTGCTATTCCAAAATTATTACGATTAAGCACAATGGCCACTAAATTAAATTTTTATAGGAAAAGTAATCAAATTAGAATGCTTTCAACTTTGTTACCATCTATGAACTCTATATTCTTTTGCCTACGTTAACTGTATTTGTACTCTCATTGAAGTAAAAGGCACAATGCTCTATTTTCCTATGAGAATAAGGAGAAAAAATTTGTAATGATGTTTCTCCAACTGTGGAAATAAAATATGGTTAACAACAGATCTTAAATTTTTCACCTCAGTGTAACTGACCACAACAAACCAAGAAATGTGCCCATTTTGCCACATTGATTTCCACTTTGGAAAATGTAATAAATCGACTTCAATATACCTTACAGACTTTATAAAAGAATCAGATAAAAATCAATAAAATAATATTGTCTTCCATCGTGAAAAAGGAGACATAAAGTTTGTTTCCGTTTTTAAAAGATGTATATAAAGTCAGATACTCAGGAAAATTTAAGTAGCTTTTTTCTAATCTAGAGATATAAATAACTGATCATACTGGTTTCAGCCCATGCACTCTCTTTCCCTCTGAATATACATCAGAGGAGGCACATGGTAGCCTGCCCTGGAACTAATAAAGCTGAGTGGCACTCTTCCACTTCTGTTTGAGCAATAAAGTGGGGGGGGAATTGTCCAGGTTAAGCGCATTAATATCTATTAGCTATGGATGCAGCTGGCAAAGAGCTCACTACTTAAATGTAATGGGCTTTACCTTGCACTGGCAGAGAGTACACTCAGTGCCATGCTTGATCCAAGAGGATCCGGTGAAGCGCACCACATTCATCTCATCCAGGCAAGTTTTGGTGATGTCATTGCGGATGGTGTCGGCCTGGCAAGGGTCTGTAACGCAGCGCTGGCAGCACTCGCTCTCCGGGAGAACACTGAATTCACATTCCACGTCTGGGCACGGCAGGGGCCAACAGTCAACTTCCCCCTGCTATACGGAAAACAGGGCAGAAGGAGAGGAAGGAGCAAATGGAGGGAAGCCGGGAAAAAGGGGCGAAGCATAGTGTTTACTTAATACTCAATTTATTTGATTGATACTATACTTAAATCTTCAAAGCCCGTGAATCTTGCAGGGAATCTACAAAAGTCCTGTCAGAATGATGAAACCTATACTGCAGCTGGATTTTTAAACCATCTTCAAGGGTTAGACAAGAGCAGCAATAAAACAGAAGAAAAACATTTCTCTTGAAACAATCAAATGTGCATGCCTTGTCTTTCCCACAACAAAAAATAATTATTTAATGTGGAGGACGTGGAAGAGGTTTTGTTTAATTTTTCCCATGCAATGCCTTTTGCATTCTATTGATATTTTTTTCAAACTTTTCATTTATTTCTTTATGCATAAAGTTTTGTCCATTTTCAAGAAAATAAACTAAAATGTGAAGGGCGTACGGTGGTTTTTCTTTATTCATGTATACATTTCTCATGTAGGGACTGAAAAGTAAAAAAAAAAAAAAAAAAAAGGAATTGATTTCACTCTTTTTTATTCCACATGGGAAAATTGTGTGAATTGGATCTTTAAAAAATATAGTTCCCACCTGTTTCCTATTCCTTCATAATTCTGAATCTCATGGTTTGGGAGATGAAAACAGCCTTCAGGCACAGAAACTGACCTTGCTCTTTCAATTGATTTTTGCGTTGAAAGTATAAAAAGCAAGGAACAAAAAAGTTTTGCCTTAAAAATATCCTCACACAAATACAACGGAACTGGCCATAACTTTAAAAGTAGCATCTTCTGTGAAACTTTCTGCTATAAAGACACAGACAAATTTTCCTATTCATTTACACTATGAGAAAGAAATAAAAAATTTAGCCTACTGAAAAAAGACTTTATCAAATCTTTACTTTCTTTTTAACTATTCTTTCAAGTAACAGTTTCAGAAATAGAAATAGAAATTCTATTCTAATACATATTTATTGCATATTCATATTATGTACAAAGCAAGGTGCCAATTAGTAATATCTTTAGAAGGGAAAAAAGATAAGTGAATTTTTGTTTGTTTTGCTTTACCTAAGAATGATAGAAATGGGTTAACAAAAGTTCTACTTGGAAAAAGAACGGTTTTCCTCACAATGCCATAATTCTATCCATAATTGCCTTTGAGTAAGCCTACATTGGATGGAAATTTCTTCTTCCGAGTTATGGCAATATTTCTGAAAGAGACACTACTGTCAGTGAAATAATGCACAATGTGGTTTACCACTCTACCTCAGAATATTTTTTCTTGGATCTTGATAGTATAACCATCACTTCATCATCATAACCTGGTTCACTTTTTATAACTGACAACATTGTGGCCAGGTGCTGGGTCCTGGCAGAGAGGGAGGGCAGAGTTGCTTTCCTATTTAAATTCTGGGCCTAGACTTTCCCTTCATTTCACATAGCTAAATTTACCAAACAACGGCACTGTTGACAATTCTGGACCCAGGTGTCCCCGCTGTTGTACAAGGTTTCCCCATTTTGATGTAGGCACTGACTGCTAAGCCTTGGGTCACATTCAGGGCAGCAAAAAAGATCAACTGTGGGATTCTCACAGTCACAGACCATCCGTCGACACATCACAAACCCATTCTGCATGAAAAAGTAAAAAACAATTACCAAAAGACTCCACGTCTCAAAACACATTATATATACCGTGATTTGAAAGTTAAAATAATTCACACTGTTTATCCAACAAAATACATTTTCTCTAAAATTCCATTTTGTAGCTAATACATAGACAGTACTAAGTCAGAGGACTTCCAATTTCCTTTCTACATACCACTCCTCAAATGACTTAATCAGGAAAAAATTTCCAGAAATTGTCAGTACAAAATGATAACCATTGCATAGTCCTTATGAGTATATGAGTCCATTTATATATAAATATACATGAATTTGTATGTTAGTATAGTAATTTGAATACTAACTAAATTTTGTCGTGTGTGAGGTCATATATGTTAGTATTTGGTGGCTAGTTAATAAGTTTTATATATTGCTAAGAATATCTTAAACCTTATGTTTTTGAACAAACTGTTATCAGTTTTTTATGTTAGTTGAGAGACTGGTATATAATATTATTCATTTAACTATAATTTAAGTAGCTATTAACTGGGTACATAGAACATCTCTCTAAATCTGAACTATATCCTCAATAGATATTTTTCACTCTTGGCTCATGGCATGTCCATTCTGACTTCATGTATGCATTTATTCAAATATGATATTGTTACTATGAAAAAATTAGCATTTTATAAACTTTTATCAACAAGTGATTTAGATAAACACACAGTGGTATATTCATACAATGGAATACTATTCAGCATTCAACAGGATATAAGTAACAATGTGAATAAATCTTAAAAACATAATGCTAAGAGAAAGAAGCCAGACACAAAATACTATATACTATATGATTCCATTTATATGAGACTCTAGAATATATACGTTTTATCGATAGGTACTGGAAGCACTATTTGCCTGGATCTGGTGGTACGGAACTAACTAGGCAAGGACAAAGGCAGTATCTGGGTTAAAGGCAATATTTGTGTTAATGGAAATGTTCTGTTATGTTAATTGTGACTGTGGTTCAATGGACGCATGCATTGTCAAAACTCAAGTTATATGCACCCTTAAAATATATGAAAATTACAACTCAATAAAATTGATTAAGTTTTTTTATTTATACCAACCTGACATGAGCACACAGAGCATCGGTCATTTTCCAACACCCAAATCTGACCATTGTGCTTAACTTTTCCATCATGGATGCAGTCCCCAGTGCAATTCTTTCCATGAGGACACCGGCAATCATATCCACCATCCAAATTGAAGCAAATAGTATCGTTGGCACAGCTGTGCCTCCCGGTCCCACATTCATCAATATCTACAGCCAAGGAAAAGCAGTATGCAGTGTGCTTAGAATATGCTCCATTTCAAACAACTGCAATCAGGCAAGTTGTCTCCTGACATAAAGAATTCAACTGTAAATTAATTTTCATCTTACAGGCATGGATTTCCGATTAAATGCTGACTAAAGCAACGTTAATGATCTAGGGATTTCACAGGAAAATATTATCATGTTTGATTTGAAAAACCAAATAACCTTGGCTAAACTTCCACTTTAATGTTTCTGTAAATACCATTAGGCTTATGAAACATTTATATTTTTTGAAAGTGAAAATATGACTCAATTCACCAAACAAAAACAGTTTAGCAGTGGAAATTCTAAAGGTGCCTATGATGCTTTACTGGGGATATCATCACCAGTATTAAACTGGTGATTATAGAAAAATTCCTTCTTAGTGGGAGATGAAGTGTAACGGGCCCCTGAGGCATTTTATTCCATTTCCCTCCCTATTCACACAGCTGCACCACCCCACTCGGAAGCTCTTCCCAATGTTCCGCCTAGGCATTCTTCCCTCAAAGTCAGAGTCTCTTCACACTGTCCTTACACCTTGTCCCTCACCCACGAAGGGCAAGTAATCACCAGCAATTACCATCTCTCTCACAAAGAATCTGCTCCGTTCTAACTTTTCCACTTCAGATGATGATTTTGTCCCCTGCATGACTCCACTGGCAACTGCCCGTTCCTTACCCAGCCTCACCTGTTTCATGGCAGTCACAGCCTAAAGCATTTTCATACAGATGAAAAGCAAACATATCTTGACCCCAGATCAGGCCCATAAGAAGAGATGGGATTCATTATTTACCCCTGTAATTTAAAGGTCACAAGCCAAAATACATTTCAGAGATTTCATATGAGTGGCAGTAAGCAGTTATTTCCTACTTCATCTGATTCCTCTGAGCAAAGGTCAAGAACAAAAGAATTAAATCATAGCAGAAGTGGGTTAGAGACAAGGCAGCATTAACTAGGGCACTATATACTGATTTTCCTTGAAGATTTTAAAGATATAGTTCAGTAAATATCTTTCTTACATGGTTTGACTACAACATTAACTGAAGACTTTACAAGTTAAGATAATATCTTGGACATTTAAAAATTCTAAAATACTTAAATTCTGTTGTATATGCATTTCTGAAAATAAGACACATATTTCTCTATTTACCCTAATATTTATTAGTTCCCATCTCAACAAAACCAATAAATTGGATCAATGGCTGAAAATGTTATTATAACCACAGTGAGTTTTATCATAGGTTTATTTGTTGAGGATAATACTGTTTATGATTTATGATTATAGACTAAGATCAAAAAGAGAATTGGATGAGGAAATATTTCTTAAAAAGTAAGTACAATGGTGAATAAGTATTTTTTCAGGTCAGAGAAAATTAAATTTTGCTAATTTGTTTATATTTGTTCTATTCAGAATAATATGGTACATTTGATGAGTTGATCTTTGTCTCCCATTAAATATTCTTAGAGTTAGGAGTTATAGTAAGTAGGAAAAACATAAACCATAGTTATCTGATCTGTTTGACCACAAACTCTGCAGACATATCTTACTATATAGTTTTTTAAATATTCACCATAAAGATATTATTCTACTAATGTCAGTGGCTGAATTTCTACAATTATTTTATTTTACTTGACATTTAAAAATAAAGCTCAGCTACCAGGTAATGCTTTTTTAGGTGGCGGGGGTGGGGGGACGATGACGACGACAGATTGATTCCATGTGTTTGCTGCAGAGGACAAAAAAGAGATGTCTGGGTACCAGAAGACTATGTGTACTGAAATAAAGCACATTTATAATAAATAGAGTAAAAAGCTGCTCACAACAATGGCTGGCATGTACTTGCCCTACCTGGAAAAATGTGTAGGCAGAAGCATCATAATGGACTATTTATAAACTCTCTGGCCAACAGTATCTGAATTAGTTTAAACTCAGCTTGCCTTTTCTGCTTGTTATCTACTCTGAGTTTCACAATGCAGAAACTTTTCTCAGTTGACTAATGGCATAGAATTTTGGAATTCATTTTTATACATAGTTTTATTATTAATATAACAGATTCTTAAATTAAATATACACAAAGAATGTGTGTGTTCTTATTTGAAAAACCTACCCTGGTATATAAATATTCCAACATAAAAATACTGATAACTCTTTAAGTGCGTGATTATTGAAGAAATAATGTTGCTAAATCCATTGGTCAAACCTCAGTTCTCATCTAACTTACAACCTCTTCTTGATACATTTTTCTTACTTGCTTCCTATCACATTGGTAGCTCTTTCTGGATCTTTCTCCTGCCTATACATTATCTAGGTATGTCAATTACTTTGTGAATAAGATTTAGTCATGCATTGAAAGGGTAAAGAGTAGTCTGGAGTGTTTTGGGGGTAAGAGTGTGTTCGAAAACCCAGTTTAGAGCTCTCAAAATATACTAGATAAACAGAAATGTTGGTATGATTGGAATGACCAGTGTAAGAGCAGAGGACATGGCTGAAGAGGTATTTCGGGCCCAGGCAAAGGTCATGTTAAGAAATCTGAACTTTATCATTAAAAACAATAAAATGACATTTTAGAGGAATGCAAAAGAAATCACAATCTGATTTTTATTTTAGGAAGTTTTTTACTTCATTTTGGAAAATGGATTTTAGTGGATTAGAATTTGGAAACAGGAAATCAGTTAATAGGTTGTTTCAGTAGTACAGGCAAGAGATGATCACACATTAAAACCAGAGTCATACACTGATTGGTACATACTAGATCCTGAGTACTTTTCATACGATGACCCATTCGATCCTTACAACAACCCTTGAAGTTTCAATTATTATTGCCATTTTACAGATCAGGAAACTGAGACATAAAATGTCATATAACTTTCCCAAGGTCACATAGTCAGTAGAGCCCTGATGGGAACCCAAACTGTCAGGCTCCCGAGTTTGTGCTCTCACGTATGATGCCATACTGGGTGGTAGCAGTGGTGATGCATAGAAAGAGACAACCGAGATAGAATCAAAACAACTTTGTGATTTCCTGACTTTGAAGGTTAGGAAGAGGAAGGGATCAAGAATAATGTTTAGATTTCTGACTTGGAATATTTAGTTGATGTTATTTAAGGAAAGAACAGCAAGATTTTGTCTGGGAGTGACAGACAGGGCAGAGATGAAGGTAGACATGCATTCAGTTTAGGATAAGTTGAACTGCACTTTCCTCTGGGCTTCCAAGTGGAGCTTTCCAGCAAGTAGTTGGATATGTGGGTCTGGAACTCAGAAAATAGGACTGGGCCAAAATATGGATTTGATGCTGATATACTTTCATCATTCTCTTTCCTAAAAATAGTCCTTCAGACTCAGGCTCAAACTTCACAATAAAGAATTTGAGTTACTTCCTCTATTTGTATACTTTTTCCCTATCTCTACTTGCTGATAATATCTTACTTTACAAAGTCTAGGTACAAATGTACTCTGAGAAGCTTTCCTTGGTACAAAGAGAAAATAATTTCTTTTTGCTCCCTCACAGAATATATTATATTTTTTTGTCAAGCTCAAATAATTTTTTCAATCATTTTTCACCTTGTCTTGTGGCTTTCTTGTCTGTTAGAAAACTCACTACGTTCTATTGTGCATGACAGTTATTGTTGTACATTTTTTATCTCTTCTACAAGCTGAGAGCAGTGACCATCCCTCCTTTATATTTGTAAGCAGCAGATGCCTAGCAAAGCACCTCAATACTCCTGTGTATATATTCAGTAACTACCTGTTGAGTTGAATAAGAGTTTTTCTTTGTGTCCTTTTTCTTGATTTAAGTTGTGAATTTATAATATTTGACTTACACAGAATATTTAAAATATAGTATCATGTAAATATCATTATTTTCATGTCACAAATTTTAAAAATTCACCAAGTTTAAAAATTGTCCAGAAATTAAACCAATAAAGGGAAATGTGGACATGAAAATAAAATATTTTCACGTGAAAAATGTTACTGGGTTGTGTCCCAGAGAAAGAGACAAAATTTCAGGCACGGTAGAAATGGTATAGACAAGGAGAATGGCCCTCTGGCACATCACCTGGGGATTAAATGTCCGAATATCTGTAGTATTCAGTAGTGACACCATGAGTGCAGTTATTTATTCATGCCTTCAACTATGAATCCTCCACTTCAGAGTAATTGTAAATCCATTGCTGTGGCTTTGTACACTTTGAAATGCCTTTTTTTCCCCTCAAGCAACAGAAAAATAGCACCTACTCAGATATAATCATTCTCTTAAAATGGAATCTTTCTAAATACTAATATTACAATGCTACAAATCACTAGAATTGTAGTAAATGGATAGTTGTTTAGAAGTATCCTCATTTTTTTCCCATAATTTAGGTGAGTTCTTTTAAAATAATCCTTCAGAGCACATTGTCTTCTGATAGAGTAGTGGATTTTATCATAATTTTTACACATTTTATTGGTAGTTAATAATAGAATCATCTTTTCAGAATAGTGATTTTTTTAAAATAAGGCTTTCCATTGTTTCTGTGTTTGTGGGATTGCCTTGAAAAGCCCCTTCTATGCAGATGTCTTACAGAATCCTTTACTTACATACATCTTCATACTTACCATGTGCTATTTTAATTTTAATTTTTAGTTTAATTGTCCTTATTACACTCTGGACTGAATATATATATATATAATGTCATACTAATATCTAAATTCTGACATAGATTATATGCCTAATGCATTTCTGATTAAAAGACTATCTATATATCACCCTTCTCAATCTTTTCATTAGACAAATAAGTTTATCATCTACTATGTGCCAGGCACTGTTTCAGGCACTGGAGATATAGTAGCTGAAAAGCAAACAAAATCTATGACCTTGAAGCTTACATTCTAAAACAGGTATTAAGCAAGCAAACAAATATATACTATAATTTCAGGAAAATGTATAAATGAGAAAAGTGAAGCAGGGTAAGTGAACAGAGTGTCAGAGGTCAGAGTATATTATAAATTGAGAGTCCAGAAGAATGTGTTTATGAGGAAATTTGAATTAAATGAAAGAAGAGCCATGCAAAGATCTGGGAGAAAGGCATTTTACACAAAATGAACAGCACATGCAAAGGAATCAATTGGGTACATTGGAGTAATAAGAAAGCCAAGGACGCATATGTTGTGGGCCCTTGTTGACCATGTTCAGGGTTTGGATATTACTCTGAGAGAAGTAGAAAGGCTTCAAGAGTGCAAGCAGAACAGTAACATGTTCTGACTTCAGTTTTAGACCACTGTGGGTGCTATAGAACAAAAGACTCCAGGGGAGTCTGGAGGGAAAGTAGGAAGACCAGTTTAGAGTCTGCTGTATTAGTTCTGACAAAGGTAATGACAGCTTGGACCAAGATGATAAAAGCAGAGGTGGCAAGCCGTGGTCAGATTGGGAATATATTTTGGAAGTTGGAATTGTGTGATTTGTTAATGTACCGGATGTGAGGTGTGAAGGAAAGAAAGAAAGAAACAATGACTCCAAGGTGTAGGTCTAGGCAAATATGAACCACGTTAAGGGACTTTTAAGTAGCATTTAAAGAGTAAATCAAGAGTTCTGTTTTCACCATATTAGGTCTGAATTGCCTATTAAGAAATCCAAGTTGAGATACCTAGTAGGCCACTAGATATATAAATCTTCAGCTAGGGCAGAGGTCTCAATTAGGAATATATAGATGGCACTTTAAGCCATGAAACTGGTGATGTAAGGATTGAGAATGAATACAGAAGATTGACAAGGCCTAAGCCTTGGGGCATTTGAACATGTAGCCCTCTGGAGGGTAAAAGAGGAGACCTGTAGGAGAAAGGAAAATGTGGTATTCCCAAAGCCAAGTGAAGACAGTTAAGTTTTGAGAGAAAGAAATTATCAATTGGGTCAAATGCCTGAGTGTTCAAGCAAGAAGACAGTAATTGACCAGTAAATTGGGCAAGATAGAAATTGTTAGTAATCTTGGAAGGAAAATGTCAGCTAGGGCAGTGAGACTAAAGCCTCACTGGAAGCAAGAAGGTAGAGATAACAAGCATAGAAAATTCTTTCAAAGTGTTTTAATCTAAAGGGAACAGAAAAATGAGGAATATGTTTGGAGAGTCAGGTGACATCAAGTGAACTCATATTTTACTTGTTTTGTCTCATTTTTAAAGATGGCTGCTACTCCAGATTATGTATACACTAAAATGAATGATGTAGTAGGAAAATAACATTTAATGATGTGTAAGAGCAAGTGAATATTACAGGGCAAAGTCCTTAAATAGGTGAGAGAGGATGGATGCAAGGAGTGGATGGCAGGGTCTAAAGCAGGAGGGAGCAAAAGCAGCAGATATACAGAAATAAATAAGAGTAAGCTAGTATGGCTAATGGTGGAAAACTGAAGCCATCTTCTTTTGACTAATTCCATGTTCTTGGTTAAACAGGCCACTGACAGAGAATGAAGAGAAAGGAAGTGGTGTTCAAAGTCTTAGGAAACTGAAGGAGGTACGAAATGGCTATATAAGAATTGGAGGGAGGCCGGGCTTGGTGACTCAGCCTGTAAACCCAGCGCTTTGGGAGGCCGAGGTGAGTGGATTGCCTGAACCCGCGGGTTCGAGACCCTCTGGGCAACTTGGCGAGACCTCATCTATACAATAAATTTAAAAAAAAAAAAAAAAAAACTAGCTGGGCGTGGTAGCACGTGCCTGTAGTTCCAGCTACTTGGAAGGCTGAGGCGGAAGGATCGCCGGAGCCCAGCAGGCGAGGCTGCGGTGGCTGGGAGCAGCCACTGCACTCCAGTCTGGGCGACAGAGACTCCAACTCAAAATAAAAAAAAAAAAAGAATTGGAGGGGAATGTAACTAAGCAGAAATGCTGGAATGTGCTGATGGCCCTTGGAGTAGGTAGCTTCCAGGATGGCTCCAATGATCCTCACCACTTAGTATTCACACCCTTGTGTATGTGGGCTGGACTTATTGACTTGCTTCTAACAAATAGAAAATGGGAGAATTGATGAATAGCCACATTGGACATGAAGTTATAAAAAGACTGTGACTCCCATCTTGGCCATCTGCACTCTCTTAGATAGCTTACTCTACAAGAAGCCACCTCCCATGTCCTGAGGCAGGCCAGTGGCGGTCCATGTGTTAAGGAATCAAGGTCTGCCAATAGCCACATGAGTGATCTTGAAATAGATCCCCATTTCCTCCACTCAATCACAGACAAGCTCAAGTAAGAAGACTACAGACCTGAACAAAAGTTTGACTGCAATTTCATGAGAGACCTTGAACCAGAGGCACCCTAAACTGTGCACAGATTCCTAATCCACAGAAACTGTGAGACAATGTTCATTGATTTCAGTTGCTAATTTTGAGGGTAATTTGTTATTTAGCAGTAGATAATGAATACAACCCACCAGAGATTTGTGGTCGTAATTTTTAAAGATAGTGAGTTTAGTTACAAATTTAATGTAAGACAGTCAGCAGAACTATGTGTCTTTTTCTATTCACATTTTGATGCACAGAAAGGGATGTGTAAGGATACCAACAAAAATTAAACACAGGTTACCCCTAGAGATAAGTGAAAAGGATAAGGAAAAGGGGAGGGGATGAAATAAAGATAATACTCAGCTTTAATCTATACATTCTGCATGATTTGCATTATTATAATCCGCTTATATTCATTATGTACACAATTTAAAAAGATGATCTTAATAAGACACTTGTAGAATACAAGCAAAGTAGCTTATCAGGGAAGAGCAAAATCCCAATGTTGATCTGTCTTCAAACTGCAATCTGTGGTTCCTGGCATTTCTTATAGGACTGAAAATATTCATTCTGTAACATTCATAAGTGCCAGATAAAGCCCTAAGACCGCAGTTAAGTGGTTATTTGCACATGCCAGGTTTTAGCCCCTGGTGGGGCAACAATATTCCCATTTCTGTGAAAATCCTGATGAATACTCTGCTCAAGATCCAGAGCATTCCTGCTGCTGGCAAAGCATGCCAGGGGCTTTGGCATCTATCACGCAAGTCTGTTTCACTTCTCTCTGTGTGAAAACGCTTTGAGGCCCAAGGATAAAAGACACCTTATCATTTAGGTGTCAAGTTCCTTTAGGTTAGATTCTCAGAGGCTTTCACTGACTATGTCATCTTAACCTCATTATTTTCTTAGGCTGTTGCTCTATGAAGGTGTAAATACAAATGGAGAAAATAATGAGTTCTGGAGCTTTGTTTTGTTTTCCAGTCCTATGCCAAGACTTCTGATGGCAAGCACTTTCAGGGTGGATAGGTTCTCAGACAATTGTTTACTAGAGTCTGCTTGCTCTGCCTGTTTTCTAAAAATTGTGTCCCTTCATCTAGGGTAGAGAAGGACAGAGTTATTTCTTAATGCACTGAAAAATAACTTTAAAATAATGGTAATTAAACAAATACAATTCAATTGAATTTTCGACTTCTATTAGATTAAAAGCTTCCTGGAAGCAGAGACCATACCTTATGAATCCAACATTCAGCAGTCATTAAACATCTCTTACTTTGCCAGGCAAGCAATATGTTAGGAATAGCCCTGAATAGCATGCACTGTCTATATTATATTTGGCTACATCATCATTGTATTTCCTCTATGTACATTTTTCCTCTATCTTCCCTCATCTTTTTTTGTTCTATCTGTTTTTTGGGTCATATTTTTGCATGCTCTCATTTTTAAAAATGTATGTGATACTATGGGTTTTTTCATTCTATAAACACTCTTCAACTGTTGCAAGAGATCTACAGAGAACTGGGTTAGCATCCCAAACTTTAATTATCTAGAAGTAAATTAATTATCATAATTAGCAAGCAAAAGTTTAGATTTTAACGTGTTTCTAATCATTGTTACATAAACACATAGTAAAAATCACCAATAACAAATGCTAGTTTAATGTCTTATATTTAGATCTTACTATATATTTCTCAAGTTCAAGAGGAGTTTTTAAATTCTAGGTCTTCTCCTTGTACTGACCTTCACAAGATTCTCCACTTGGTGAAAACATCCCATTGTCATGGTAGCCATCTCTGCACTCACAGTGGTACCATCCAGGCAGGTTAATGCAGTTAGCACGGCTGTCACACTGAACAAAGCCATCAGAGCATTCATCGATGTCTGTTTGACAAAAAATAAAACAAAAATGGGTTTTCATAAAATTGTTTCTTTTCTTATACAGAAACTATCATATTCTGCTATAAGGCTATTACAATTATTAATGCCAGCAAAGCCTTGAAACTAAGAATATATAAAATCCAGAAAGTCCTCTTGGTTGGTAAAAGCTATACAGAAAAAAGTAGTGTTATTCATAACAGGAGAAACATCTAGAAGTTTCCTCTGATGCAAATGGCATTAAATCGTAAAATGAAATCATTGGTGATAGTCATTGGTCACTGTTCACCAAATATTTTTAGCTCCTTTAGACACAAGCTAGGACTGTGGTTCTCTAGCCCCTTCAAATTAGGTGTGGCCATGTGAAACATGGAGTGACACTTAAGCCAATTAGGGAGTGATATGGGTCACTTCTAGGTAGAACTTTTAAGCATCTTTCCCCCATCACAATGACCAGCCATTTCCAGAGACTCTAAAGATTTACCTGAGTTCCTGAGGGTGGATGATAAGGGGCACATTCCTTGCTTATCTAGGATGACATATACTATGAACAAGAAATCAACCTTAGTTGCCTTAAGCCACTAAGATTTTAGGGTCTAATTATCACTAGCATAACCTATCTCTACCTGATTAATTCACCACTCACCTCCAATATAAATAGCAAGAGCATTCATGCATCAATATGCTTCATGTTTTCAAGAATACTATTTATGTCATTTTCTACTTGCATCACATATGTTACTTCATTCAACACTCAAAATAATCTTGCCTTGTGGATAACATATTGAACATATAAAAAACGGAGGCAAAAAATTATGAAATTTAACCAAGGTCATCTAAAAGTTCATAGTTGCGTGACTTTCAAGTGTATGCTCCTTCATACAAGATGACTCAGGATGAAATTGGGGAAATGTCTGTACAAAAAGAGTTATGGATCTTGAGTCTCAGATATTTCCTTCAGAGGCTTATTACTATTCCCAAATGTTGTGAGCCCTTTATTCTCCTTGTTCAATCTGCTGAATAGCAGGAACATCCAATTCCATCCAAGTACCTTCCTTTGCTCACAGAGGAAAAAGTAATCCCTGGAGTTATCTTACAAAGAGTCTCCTTCTTCTCACTACCTCCTAGTTTCTGGATTGTTTGGCTTAACTTAGACCCTGATAAATGATTCATTGGCACTGCACCATGTGGCTTCCAAAAATATCCGCATGCACCCTACTCCCATTTTGATAGCTCCATGCTATGACTGTAAGTTTTACCTGCCAAGGCAGGATAGTCCTTTCTGATATACTTTCTATACTTGTGTCATATCCCCTGCTGCAGTGGCCAGGCACATCCTTCAAGTTGAAGGTAAGGCCAGCAGTTTTGTTAGAGTCCTTGTCTCTGAGACAGTCTACTTTAGTGGCAGAATCTACTTTCTTCCTATTTCAGTCTCATCTAACTCCAAATTCCTGGAAGCATGTATTCCTTTTTTTTTTTTTTGAGTTGGAGTCTCACTCTGTCGTCCAGACTGGAGTGCAGTGGCCACTTCCAGCTACCGCAGCCTCGACCTGCTGGGCTCCGGCAATCCGGCAATTCTTCCACCTCAGCCTTCCAAGTAGCTGGAATTACAGGTGTGTGCTACCACGCTTGGCTAATTTTTTGATTTATTGTAGAGATGAAGTCTCACCAAGTTCCCCAGGCGAGTCTCAAACCCGCGGGCTCAGGCAATCCACTCACCTCAGCCTCTCAAGGCGCGGGATTACAGGCTGAGCCACTGAGCCTGGCTTCGTTTTCTTTTTAAATTTCCTCTTTACTTACATTCAAGTTTTAAAGAGATAACTTAATGAATAAATGGATAAATATATTTTAAATAATCAGAGAAATAAGTAATCATTCATTTACTTCTTGATAGGTCAACAGTTCCTTTACTAAAACAGTATGCAAATCAATCGCTTAGATTTTTAGGTAATAGATCAAACAATAAATGTTTTACATCGTTGTAATATTTTAGCATTATTTCCAAACTATGAATGATTTTGCCTCCATGGTTCCTCTACTTAAAAAGTCAGTTACCACCATTAGTAATTCTAACTGTCAAAATAATTATTAGTGGCCCAATCAGCTAACCATTGACTTCTTGACACATAGCTGATGTGAATTGCTTTCATTCACTAAGGCCTTACAGGTTTCATGAAATAGCCTACTTGTGCTTCAGGGGCCTTCCTAACTGATGAACCTCCGATTATAAATGGGTCCAGAATGCTGTGCTCATTTCAGTTTTATATGGTCTTTTCTTCTAACCCAAATGATGCAGAAAATTGATTATGTCATTTCTTAAGTGCATAGACAAAAGAAAAGAGGCTGGAATTAAAGCTTTGGAAGTGAGTTTTACTGGAAGAAGGCCATGAGGGGGATGTTTCAAGTCACTCATTTTGGAGGAATTTGGTCATTAACGTTGGTGGTTTGAAAGTAACTATTAATGGAACAGAGCTTTTGCCACTGAAGCAACTTTTCCATCTATATTTAGCCTTCAAGTTAGTCCTTTCTTCCGGTCTTAACATAGTTGTAGGGTTATCTCAGTTTTCATGGTACAGATATATACTTCAATTGTTACTTCTCACTTTTTTTGTCTCTTATCACTCCTTTACCAATCACCAGGCCCACTCCTATACTGTCACATACCCAACCCTCCTTATTTACATATGGCAACCTCCTTTGATCTATAAATATACTCATTAAAGCTTAATATAAATGCCATGTATTATATTACTTAGTGCTTTGAAGACTGGTTATATAAACATATGTCTGCCATATATACTTTCTTTTTTTATTTCTAAATTCTGGATTATTTATCTAGGAAAGATTTTTAGAAGTATTCCAGAAAATTCCAAAATTACTGCTTGAAAAAATATAATAATTTAGTAGAACCTTTGTTTGAGGATTTGTTTTTAAATTTTAGATTCTGGAGGTACACATACATATTCATTACATGGACATAGTGTATAGTGGTCGGGATTGGGTCTCAGGTGTCCCATTCCCCAGATAGTGAACATTGTGCCCTGCAGGCAGTTTCTGAACCCGACCCCCTTCTCTCCCCCCCCCTTATTGGTGTCCCCAGTGTCTACTATTTCCATCTTTGTGTATTGTAATATATACTTTGAGAATTATTTTATTATTTAATTATTACTTCTAGGTAGTATTTTAGAGGATGAATATTTACATACAGATGTTCCTTGACTTATGATAAGGCTATCTCTCAATAGATCCATTGTAAGTTTTAAAAAAAAGTAAGTTAAAATCACATTTAATATTCCAATAATCCATCATAAAGTAAAAAAAAATCATAAAGTTAAACTGCTGTAAGTTGGGAACCATTAGTATATACTTCATCTATTCATCTATCATCCAATATTTATTGAATAACTGTTATGTGCCAAGAACTAAGTGCTAGAGAAACAAGAATGAACAAGACAGAAGCCATTCTGCCCTCATTAAGTTTATCATCTATTTAAATTGTTACATTTATTTTAAGAAAATTAAATGTATGAAAATTTAAATTTATAATCCTATAGAAGAGTGTTTCCAGCATGATTTATCTGCCACCAGTGTGGTATGTAGGTGATAAAATGGGCAAATACTTTATTTTAATGGCTATTTATTTTTCTGAATTATTTTCATTGATAATAAGTGACATAGTACAGTAATGAAGTTACATTTCAATTTCTAAAATAAGAGAAATTACAGAAATGATATTAAGTAAATATTGGTATAAATGGCATATGAACAGGACAATTCTAAGTGAAATGCCTTAACTCATCTAAAATATGACTGAGTTTATAAAAAATACATGCATCATGGCTTAAGATTACATACTTGTTACCATTTAGGATTAGGAAGAAAAACTAACCATATATACATATATATACACACACATATTCATTTAATACTATTATGTTCCTACTAATTTTGATTTGTTTATGCACATTTTTCTGCCTTGGTTAGTCATCAGAAAATGAAAGTGTACTTGAATTGACAAAGCATGTTCTTCATACCAGAAGGTGTGTTTGTTTGTCTCACGGCTCTAAGTAAAACCAGAGATCTAATAAAACAAACCGTCTCATCTATTCGCTGTTTGATTGGTATGAATACTTTTGTTTACTCAGTAAATATTTTGTAACTAAAGAATTAGAATCTGATATACAATTTATGAATTAAATATATTTTGTCCATATATAAATGAGGACATTAACATGATTTATAACATAAATGAACACATGCTGACATTTTCAAGTATGCACATATTGTGCTTCACATATTGTTCAATAACACAAAGTAGTAAAACAGAGCTCCATTTTTAAATAATTTATTTCTTGGGCACTTTCTTTAGATTAGTTTAAGCCTAACTTCATATTCTTAATTGAGTTGTATACACAGAAAACAGCAGACCTAGAGGAGAAAAAAATTATTATTTATTCCACATGAGAACTACCAAGTTTGAACAAATTATTTTTCAAACTGAATAAAAAAAATTTAAAAGATTATTATGGCTATATAAGCTCATATGACTTTGTCTTAATCACAAGGACCTTAATTTTGTACTCTGTAGATATACAGAAAACTAAAAATAAATTTTACAAATTTTCTAATTTTATTATATATTCTGCTTGGAAAGGAACCAGTTCCTTAGAACTTTTTCAGTAGCTACATTTAGAACAAATCAGCTAGTGATGGTATTAAAATACTGTCCAAAAGCACACAGAATCTAAAATCCAAAAGATGTTTAGCCATCCAACAACAGTCAAGAATAGCAGTCATACTCCAGGAATCAAAATCGACTTAGATAATAAAAACGGAAGGCGTTGCTGAGGATACATTTTCTAGAAAGCACACATACTTTGAGGTAATCATTAAAAACCAACCATCAAGCAAAAAAATGAAGAAAGGAAAATAAATGAATGTAAAAAGTTCATACATATCAGTGTCTTATTTTCTTTGTCTCTCTCAGGTATAATGGCAGAAGGCTGGATGCCTTCTCAATGTGGCAGATCACTGGCTTCAGGG